TTCTATTTCTTGCGTGTTTTCCTACTTTTTTCGCTTCACTAGAATGATTTTCATGATAGCGTGAAAGAAGCTTTAGAACCGCACATGTGGGTCGTGCACGATTCTAAAGTTACCTTCAGCTGCGAGCCACGCTTCTCACCCATATGAGCGAATCGCTAATCTTTATCGTCTTCAACGAGTTGCCTTCGTTCTCAAAATCATTATTTCACGCGACAGGTGCGCGCGTTTATTATAAAAGCGGAGCATACGCGCCGCTAGATTTCGCATCCCGATGATTCGTCGCGTCGAACCGGGACGCAGATCGTCGCGCGAGTGCATCGGCACGTGTCGCGAGCGATGACACGTGACGAGTTCGATCCCGCGAACGACGATATCTCGCTACGCGCGGCGGATCGCGTGACTATGTATGGAGAGACAGCCGAGGTGCGTTTTGCAGCGAGGATGTCGATGAATTTTTTACAGAAATTCAAATATAAATGGCCGATTTGGCTGTATAAAGCGTACACCGTATATGAGAATTGTAAACGTCAAAATGCACAAGATTTTGGCAAGTTTTACGTATTTTCTGTAAGTGCAAATATTTTAAATTCTGCAGTAAACAACGGATTTTTTTCACATATAAATACACACACACACACTTATATTAATAAAATATGAGTAATGTATTTTTCATTTTTAAAAATATTTTGTTAATAAAAAAAAATTAATATTGCAGTGAGGATGTCGATGAATTTTTTACAGAAATTGAAATATAAATGACCGATTTTGGCTGTATAAAGCGTACACCGTATATCAGAATTGTAAACGTCAAAATGCACAAGATTCATTTTACCGATTTAAATGTTTTTTCGCACTTGCAACATTTTGGCAAGCTTTACGTATTTTCTATAAATGCAAATATTTTAAATTGTGCGGTAAATAACGAATTTTTTCACATATAAATACACATACAGTTATATCAATAAAATATGAGTAATGTATTTTTCATTCTTAAAAATATTTTGTTAATTAAAAAAAATGAATATTCGATTTATGAAGGATACACAGGATTAAATTTAAATACGCTTTGTGTGTAGGATGTAACAGATAGGACAGTAATGTTTACTTCTTCGTTACCACAGTATTACACTTGTACCGTTACGTGCATTCGAAGGAAAATTATAAAATGAATGACGAAGCTGTGATCCCGGTCTTTAAGGATGTTTCGTACCTCTTTTAAATATATTGAGAATTTAATAAAAATTGTACAGAATGTGCTTAAGTTTAGAATCTTTAGTACAATTTTTTAATCGATTCACTAAAGCGTTCACAAGTCATAAGGATTTTAATTTGCATCGAATTAATATATGTTCTTATGGGAAACGTATAACCACGTCGACTCAAATGACAAAAACACATGGAAATAATATTCAGAATTTGTTTAAAAGTTGCAAAAGTGTAGTTCAGATACAGAGAAAATATTTGATCAAATAATATTATACAAGTACTAACTGGTTAAAAAGATATTAAATATAATTCAATGAAGTTAGTCATGTATCTGTCACAAGGTGAAATTCTCTGCCAAAAGTTAATTATTTCAATTAAGGATGTTTTGTAGCTATTTTCAAAATATTGAGAATTTAATGAGAATTGTACAGAATGTCCTTACATATGTTTAGAATCTTCTGCATAATTTTTAATTCGAGTCACGAAAGCGTTCACAAGTTATAAGGATTTTAATTTGCATCGAATTAACATGTGTTCTTATGGGAAACGTATAACCACGTCGATTCAAATGACAAAAACACATGGAAATAATATTCAGAATTTGTTTAAAATTTGCAAAAGTTTAGATACAGAGGAAATATTTGATCAAATAATATTATACAAGTACTAACCGGTTAAAAAGATATTAAATATAATTCAATGAAGTTAGCCATGTATCTGTCACAAGGCGAAATTCTCTGCCAAAAGTTAATCATTTCGATTAACAAAATTCGGAATATTTCAGTAAAAGCGCAATAAATATTAAAAAATACATCTCTGCACTGTAGCTAACAATAAAATCAAATTAAAATATTCCACAAATTAAAATATTCCACAATTTCTCAGACTCAAAATACACCAAAGGTGGATATATTCGTCAATATTGATTTTCAGCTACTTTTTGCTGAGATTGTACATACAAAGCATCCTTAAATTTAATATCTTTTTATTTTATCGACTTCACAAATGCATTATGTCATAACTGAAAACAAAAACATGATATTAATTTTAATTCCGTATTATGTATATTTTTTTTTGTTTTATCATTATAAACTTTAATTTTATAAATCTCCGTAAAAACCTTATCATAAGGATTTAAGCGTTATTCACATACATATGTACGTTGCTAATTAAGCTTTATTACACCAACGGGATCGCGGAAGCTCTACTACTCGATACCTTATCGCATCATGCGGTTCTTAATCCAATTTACGTCTCTCGCCGAGACGATTTCCTTCGCTCGAAACGTAAACAAAAAAACAGACACGCACATACGCACTGTTACTTGGAGGAAATAGTCGGTTCGTAAGATCTCGATCCCGATTTTTAGACGCTCGTCGTACGGTATGCGTCGTCGTCGGCATGCAAATCACGGAAATCGACGTGAGAGGAATCGCGTGAGGGGCGCACCTGTACATAGGTATCTTCAATTCTTTCGTTTCCCGCGAACGTCAGCAGTCTGTTGTTCGAAGAGGAAAGACGAGATCGAAGATCGGCAAAAATCCGCGCGATAAATCGCGGATCCTCTCGCGAGGAAACGCGTCGAGACGCGTCCGATTCGGCAGTTCAATGCGAACTGACCACGTCTCATTGCCATACCATGCTCCATTCCATTCCGCCACCGTTCCTTTCGGTCTTATTCCACGAGTATATATATCTCTCTCTCTCTCTCCCTTTTTCCCTCTTACGAAGTGACTCCCTACTCGTGGTCCTTTTCGCGCTCTCAATCACTCGGACTTTCCTCGTGCCGCTGCACAGCGGGTACTCGATCATTATCATCGCGATGCGTTTCGCTGGCAATTAATTAATTAATTAATTGTAAGGATAATTGTCGGGATATTCGGCGGAACGAAAGCACGTATTTTCAATCGAGGGAATAAATATTTCATGAAACAAGGTGAATCGTATCCGATCAATTTAGTATGTGGACTAATAATATCCTATTAAAAATGAGAGATGTGATGTATATTATACATGACGTAATTTTTTTATTTGTCAAAGGATTAGAAAAAATTTTAATTAAATTAACACAATATATTTTTTATTTTAATTAAATTTTAATTAAATTAACATAATATATTTTTTATTTGCATCATGTATAATATACATCAGAATACATTAGAATCTTCTGATATAATATGTAGCTTTCAGAAGTTTCTATGTGTGTATATGTAGCTTTCTCATTTTTCAAATATATATATATATATATATATATATATATATATATATATATACATTTCTCGTACAAAAAATGTTGTAAATCAAGCCTATCAAGCCTATCCAGCCTCTTTCTCAACGCACACATTTCTGTCAAATTATACCCGCATTCCACCAAATTACGATCTAGTGTTCCAAGAGCAACGCTTCCGTCATCATTGCCCCTCGAGATAACCGATGATACATCATTTAATCAGCGTTGATGAATGTTATGAGAAATTGCCGCCGTTTAAGTAGCATTTGGACAATTTCACAAATTTTACACAGGGTATATAAACTTAAATATCTCATTTTTTTCGCGAAACCTTAAACAAGAATTCCAAGAACTTAATGCTTTTAATAGCGCAAACTATAACAATTTCTTATGGAACCGAGTGGAGTCGTAATTTTTCATGCGATCTTGGTCTACGTTAAGAATGTTTTATATGGACAATCCCAGCAAAAAATAGCTGAAAATCAATATTGACGAGACAAAATAAAATATATCCTCTTTTAGTGTATTTTGAGTATGATAAATTGTGTGCAATATTACAATTTGATCTTAGCTACAGCGCAGAAATGTATTTTTTAATATTTATTGCGTTTTTACTGAAATATTCCGAAATTATTAACTTTTGGCAGAGAATTTCGCCTTGTGACAGATACATGGGTAACTTCATTGAATTATATTTAATATCTTTTTAACCAGTTAGTACTTGTATAATATTATTTGACCAAATATTTCCTCTGCATTTAAACTTTTGCAAATTTTAAACAAATTTTAAAAATTATTTCCATGTGTTTTTGTCATTTGAATCGACGTGGTTATACGTTTCCCATAAGAACACATGTTAATTCGGTGCAAATTAAAATCCTTATAATTTGTAAACGCTTTAGTAAATCGATTTAAAAATTATACTGAAGATTCTAAACATATGTAAGGACATTTTGTACAATTTTATTAAATTCTCAATATTTTGAAAATAGCTACAAAACATCCTTAATCAAAATGATTAACTTTTGGCAGAGAATTTCGCCTTGTGTCAGATACATGGCTAATTTCATTCAATTATATTTAATATCTTTTTAACCAGTTAGTACTTGTATAATATTATTTGACCAAATATTTCCTCTGTATCTAAATTACACTTTTGCAAATTTTAAACAAATTCTGAATATTATTTCCACGTGTTTTTATCATTTTAATCGAGGTGGTTATACGATTCCCATAAGAACACATGTTAATTCGGTGCAAATTAAAATCCTTATAACTTGTGAACGCTTTAGTGAATCGATTTAAAAATTGTACTGAAGATTCTAAACATATGTAAGGACATTCTGTACAATTTTCATTAAATTCTCAATATTCTGAAAATAGCTATAAAACATCCTTAAGTAGGTGACTCTCTAAATCTCATTGCCGCTAATTTCATTTGCTAGATTGTTTGCCGCGCGTTTGCATTCTTTGTTTTTTTTTTTACGCGTCGCAACGCTGAACAGTCCTCTCTCGCCCGCCTGTCTGTCTGTCGCGCTCCAAATACCTGTTCGGCTCTACCCACCTGCCGTGATTATGGCTCGTGGCGTCCCACGTAAATCTAAGCGCGAATCGCGATGGGGGAACTTCGCGCTACCGTCGTGAGAATCCATTTTTCTGCTCGTTGCAATCTCCTTCCGGCTGCCCTCGATCAGTATCCTACATGCAAGAAATTGCACAGCTTGTTTTTTTTTCTTTATGGATGACCGAAAAAGGCACACTGCCTCTTTTCTATTACATTCCAGATGGCTTAAAAATTTTTCTATCGTTACAAGAAATCCTGCGAATTAATAGAAAAAATGTAATATGATAAGATGGAATAAATAAAAAAGTAGATAATAATAAACAATTTTTAAGCCGTATGCATTTGAATGTTGCCAGAAAGAGTTTTAAAGTAGTTTCAAGAGTCCTTCAATTTTAATTGCACTTTAATAAGAGGCGTTAGAATATAATCTCTTCTTATGCGATAATGTTATAGCAAAAATTCGCTTTGATAATATTGCTTGCTAAAAAAAAATACAAAAATATCAATTTGCATCTATAATTTTGTAATCATTAGAAAAAAATAATACACACATTTAATTATAATAATCTAAATAATACACACATTTAATTATAATAATCTCTGTACAGTCTACTATAAAAAACGAATTATTAAATATAAGATGCATTTTTTTTTAATTAAAAAAATGGCACGATTATAAATGGAAAATAAATCTAAATTTATATTCATACTTCACGTAATAGATAATATCGATTCGCACGTGATAAATGACAACATCAATCGATGTGTCGTTAACGATCCCGGTAGAGATCGCGCGATCTGTTGATCATACGATTGTCACAACCTATCGACTTCACGTGTACTCACGGAGTTGCTCACGCGACACCACAGAGACGCTGTTGATCATCGCAGAATCAAAGATCGCGTTAGTGCTTGCTTTATAACGGCAGTCGTATCGACAGGAACGAACGAACGCGGAACCACATGCGTCGCGAACGACAGTTCGCGCGAGACTGCCGGTCCGATGACGACGCATCGTCTTTAGCATTTGGCTTGGATGGGTAAAATGGACGAATGGATGGGTAAATGGATAGACAGATTAATGGATAGACGCGTCCTCGCGACCGTAATTTTCGACATTTTAACAAGTATCTCTAATGCGCGATTTACAATTCTCTTCGTACGATTTCCCTTGACTTAAAATTTACTTAAGGATGTTTTGTAGCTATTTTCAAAATATTGAGAATTTAATGAAAATTGTACAGAATGTCCTTACATGTTTAGAATCTTCAGTACAATTTTTAAATCGATTCACTAAAGCGTTCACAAGTTATAAGAATTTTAATTTGCACCGAATTAACATGTGTTCTTATGGGAATCGTATAACCACGTCGATTAAAATGATAAAAACACGTGGAAATAATATTCAGAATTTGTTAAAAATTTGCAAAAGTGTAATTTAGATACAGAGGAAATATTTGGTCAAATAATATTATACAAGTACTAACTGGTTAAAAAGATATTAAATATAATTTAATGAAGTTAGCCATGTATCTGTCACAAGGCGAAATTCTCTGCCAAAAGTTAATCATTTCGATTAAGGATGTTTTGTAGCTATTTTCAAAATATTGAGAATTTAATGAAAATTGTACAGAATGTCTTTACATATGTTTAGAATCTTCAGTACAATTTTTAAATCGATTCACTAAAGCGTTCACAAGTTATAAGGATTTTAATTTGCATCGAATTAATGTGTTCTTATGCAAAACGTATAACCACATCGATTCAAATGACAAAAACATATGGAAATAATATTCAGAACTTGTTTAAAATTTACAAAAATATAGTTTAGATACAGAGGAAATATTTGATCAAATAATATTATACAAGTACTAACTGGTTAAAAAGATATTAAATATAATTTAATGAAGTTAGCCATGTATCTGTCACAAGGCGAAATTCTCTGGCAAAAGTTAATCATTTCGATTAAGGATGTTTTGTAGCTATTTTCAAAATATTGAGAATTTAATGAAAATTGTATAGAATGTCTTTACATATGTTTAGAATCTTCAGTACAATTTTTAAATCGATACACTAAAGCGTTCACAAGTTATAAGGATTTTAATTTGCACCGAATTAACATGTATTCTTATGGGAAACGCATATCACGTCGATTCAAATGACAAAAACACATGGAAATAATATTCAGAATTTGTTTAAAATTTGCAAAAGTTTAGATACAGAGGAAATATTTGGTTAAATATTATTATACAAGTACTAACTGGTTGAAAAGATATTAAATATAATTTAATGAAGTTAGCCATGTATCTGTCACAAAGCGAAATTCTCTGGCAAAAGTTAATCATTTCGATTAACAAAATTCGGAATATTTCAGTAAAAACGCAATAAATATTAAAAAATACATTTCTGCAGCTAAGATCAAATTGTAATATTCCACGCAATTTCTCAAAATACATTAAAAGTGGATATTTGTCAATATTGATTTTCAGCTACTTTTTGCTGGGATTGTCCATACAAAACATTCTTAAAGCTGGCTGAAAATATTTCTAATCTGTTTCTAAAAATAAAAAAAGCATTTCTGTGTGAATTTTTTATTTTTGTATCGGATAAACGCGCGATAAATTTTATAAATATATATATATATATATATATATATATATATATATATATATATTTCTAGAAATGTAAAACGTCAAGATATAAAATTATATATTTTTTTCTTAGATTTCTAATTGATTCTACTCTGTAACAATTTTTATGTACAATTAATTAATTGAACAATCGGTGCGCAAGTGTAATCATTCGTTTGTTGATTATACTCTTGCCAAAGTGCAGTTAGACCTCTGCGTTGCATGACATAATGCGCATTTCTGGACTAGGCCGTGACATTGCATAACGAAAAGCATTAAATGCGTATCGTGATACGCAAGTAACGCGAGCTACCGACGCATCGGATAATAACATACATAGTGGTACACATTACGTCTCGTCATAATTACAGACCTTATATGAACGGCCATGCATGCTTTATGTATGTGTCTATTAATTTTGTAATGTGCTTTTCAACGTGACGCAGCTCGATGGCAAACAAAGAGACAATAAACACGAAAAGAAGAATAATCTTCTCTTTCAATTTAAAAATAATTCAATTATTTATAATCGATTAATCGAATCGCAAAAAACAATAAAAAATTTATATATTGTAATTTTATAATTTTATACTGATTCGCAATCGATTCTTTCTCAACTTAAATTTAAAATACCGAGGCACATTCTATGGGACGCAATAAAGATGTAAAATGCTAATATTCTAAATTAAAACATAACTTTGACGTCATAAAAATTTTATTTCCTCACGTTTAATAATTGAAATATTCAACTTTTTAATTCGTCACGTTTAATAACTGAGATATTCAACGCTGCAGAAAATGATTTTAGAGAACACTGACTAATAAATTGGTTGACAAATTTACACCAATTATCATACAACATCCTATGGCTATAAATGTTAATTTTATTTAAAAACATCATCAATGTTGCTTGAAACTAGATAAATATACTTTATTTTATACTTATTTCCAAAATCAAGTTCATCGAAAATTTGTACCATCATTATTTATATTTGCCAAAATCAATAATTTCCGCAAAAATTGATGGATGCGGAAACGAACGAGGCCGAATGTCAGGGGAGACAAATGGAGCGTTTTGAGGTAGCACGTACTTCTTCACAATGTGTGCGTGTACGTCGTCAGAAATGCAGTCATTTGAGAGTGACCAAGATAAATAGATAGAGAGAGAAGGAGAAGAAAAGCAAGAGAAGGAGAAGACCGCTAGAGACGAGGAGGGCCTCGTCGTCGTCGACAATGAGCGAGAGAACCTTGACGGTTCGAAGAGCGCTACCATTTTCGCAGGGCGTAGTAGCGGATTGACGCAGGTGTGGACTGACCGCACGGTATTCGTAGGTCACGAAAAGGAAACGCGAAGACGAAGGGTGTGTATCTTTTAACGGGGGAAAAAAAATTGGACTTCGATCGCAAGATTCGATCTTAAATTCGCAATTGGATTCGTAGAAAAAATTCGTAAGATTCGTCAAAATTCGACCATAACATTTAGCTACTCGACTAAATCGATCCCGAGTGCCTTTCAATACGTGGAGAATTATTTTTCTAATTAATTATTTTCTATGAAACGTATTGCAATTTTTTTTAGCAGTTTTTATACACGTGACTTTCCGGAAGTGACAAAATTGACAATGATTCTTTGTGGATGATTTAGAGTGATCAGATGATTTATTGTGTATGTATGTAACACTTTTAACGAGGGTAAGGAAAAAACGATGTGTGCTCACACTTTTCAGTGTCACTTATCATAAAAATAAAATAATTGATTAAAAAAAACATTTTTCGGTATCACTTATCATAAAAATAAAATAATTGATTAAAAGAAAATGATTATATTGGACTTATATAAATATACAGATAAACATATTTTTAAATAAATCTTGCAGAGAGAGATACGGAAGATTTTCAGGAATCTCTTTTTCTACTTCTATTGCGAGCAGAAATTGAATTCAATTTTCGGCCACCCCCGCACGTTTGCGAAATGCGCGTCACCCTGTAACACGCGTATAGTTTTATGCCAAACTAGAGCGCGCCGAGATGGTGCTAAAGATAGGTCGTTGCAGGCAGGAATCGGTGTGCATCCACTACCGGCACAGGGAACAAGGGCGACCTTGGCCTTACGAGCTTATATAACGAGGAAGCAGCTGATTCACAGCTCAGTCGTTTCGATCTATCGACGCGACGTGACTTGTCAGACAAATCGCATTTTCAGTGATTCCTCTCTCGTAGTACGACTCCATCGATCTTTATATCGATTCCAATATGAAATGCTATTCGAGCACTCTCCGCGAGGCTAAAATGTATTAGTGCGTTTCTTGCCAACTCGTTTGTTTCAAACAGAAATACCTAAAGTTAAGGATGTTTTGTATCCCAGCAAAAAGCAGCTGAAAATCAATATTGACGAATATATCCACTTTTGGTGTATTTTAAGTATGAGAAATTACGTGGAATATTGCAATTTGATCTTAGCTACAGTGCAGAAATGTATTTTTTAATATTTATTGCGCTTTGATTATGGAAGATAGAAAGCAATCTGCAATTTTCAGGAAGCTAGAAATATAATGCAATATATAATGCAATTCCTGTTTATACATGCATACCATGCAGCTTTTCATAAAACTCTACAATCCCAGCAGAAAGTAGCTGAAAATCAATATTGACGAATATATCCACTTTTGGTGTATTTTGAGTAAGAAATTGTGTGAAATATTACAATTTGATCAGAGATGTATTTTTTAATATTTATTGCGCTTTTACTGAAATATTCCGAATTTTGTTAATCGAAATAATTAACTTTTGGCAGAGAATTTCGCCTTGTGACAGATACATGGCTAATTTCATTGAATTATATTTAATATCTTTTTAACCAGTTAGTACTTGTATAATATTATTTGACCAAATATTTCCTCTGTATCTAAACTTTTGCAAATTTTAAACAAATTTTGAATATTATTTCCATGTGTTTTTGTCATTTTAATCGACGTGGTTATACGTTTCCCATAAGAACACATGTTAATTCGATGCAATTTTTATTAAATTTTCAATATTTTGAAAATAGGTCCTTAAATATTTCTTCGCACACAGAGAAAAATGTATACTGTATTTAAGTAAATATTATTTGTTTTAAGTATATAAGTTCGTATATCCGCAAATATATCATAAGTTCACCACAAGCATTAAATTTAATTGAATATATTCTGAATTTTAGTAAGTGCGATATTTTAATCAAGAATATTAAATTAAAACAAAAATTTGGTTTGCTTACTACAAGAGTTGACGTAAAATAAGTTTGATTTTTCTTTGATACAACTTTACAATATTCTTGAAGAGAAAATCAATTCTTCTTTTGAGTACATGATAATGAGATTTTCTAACACTTGCGATGAGTATATTTTAAGACTATTATCAAGAATATATTCTTTATTGAAGAAAACTATTAAACTTAAAAAAAGAAAAATAAACTGAGTAACCGCTTTTCTTGGCAGTAGAATATTTTTCTCTGTGCATGCAAATCGAGTTAGAAGTGCTTTTCGCACTCGATTTTCCCTATTCCTCTAGGCAGAAATAATATTCGAGGCTTAGAACTGATTTGATTTAGTCGGATGTTTCCGACGTAGTGGAAACGTGATCGAGAGAAAACGCGAGCGATAAAAAGAGCGATCGGAAAAATAGATGCCATTAAAGGAGCGCGCGCGCACCGCTTCGACCGATCGAACGACCGCCGGCCGCGGTGGAGGGGTCGTCGCCGCGGAAAATCAACTCTCTTCTTGGCAGAAACGGAATGGCCAGCCCACGGGTGGCAGCGTCGCCGGCGGCACGATAGACTCTTCCGCTTTTTTGACAGATGCGAGCGTCAGTGCCGCGTGACGCGTCGAGTGAGAAAATCGATACTGTTTACGACAGACATTCGCGGTGAGTCGATCCGAAACGCAAATTACGAAGCCGGTATTTTGCATATCGATTCTTCGGAGATGGATGTTACGATTTGCGCGAATATATTTAACAATAAATTTCTTTTATTTTTTCCACGAGACTTTACTTTAGAATGTTTCATTGTGTCATTTAAAGTTTTTTTTTTTTTTGGTAATTATTGTTGTGGATTAAAGGAGATATATTTTGCGATCTTTGGTGAATTACGTACATGATGCAGGGATGATAATGAATGTGAAATTAAAAAAAAAGAATTGAAAAGATACTTGAAAACAGAAGGAATCGTGATTTCGTATTAATTGTGTGTTAAAAAACAAGGTTTAATCAATTCTCTCGACCTTGGTTTTCTTCGTTATGGTCATGCATAAGAGAATCACATCTGCTATGCAGACTGAGCATTAGATATGCGAAAAATCTAATTCTTTTTAGTGCGCTACAAACATCGTTAATGTCAAGTTCGCTAGATAAAATATGCCGAGCTACGCAGTACTGATAAAAGTCGGATTATATTATAACAAGTTTGAGGATACACACATGAAACGCAATGGATTGCGACACGAGGAAAATTTGGCATTAGTGCACGTGCACGACGCACTTTTAACACATTAGATTTATTCTGTTTATTCTCTGACTATGACATCATCGCGAAATTCGTTATAATCGGTGCGAATAAATTTAGCATATAATAATTTATTTAAATGAAATATAATCGATAAATTTAGGCAAAAAATAATTTACTTACTTGTCATTTATTCTATTATTTTATGCGGATTAGAAATATTTTTTTGCGCATTTTAATATCGAAATTATCATTTTTTATTTTTTTAGGATTAAGAAGATTTCGGCGAATATAAAAACAACTGAACAAAATTACGCAGTACGAGTTTCCAGGTAAAGGGATATTTATTATATCATTTCGATATTACTAAAATATTAAAACTTTTCTGAATATATGTGCATGCGTGTATCTGATTATTAAACAATGTATAATAAGATACGTTAAATGATTATAATTTTGAAATGTATATTATCAGTTTATTTAATAAATATAAATATAACCAATTAATTTATATAAATATATATTATCAATTTATTTAATTTAACGATAAATGTTTCTGAATTTTCAAATATTACATTTTATTATACATTAGTTTTATTTTCACATTTATTCTTTTATATATTAATTAATATTGCTATTTACATTTATTTTTATGTATGAAACATATCGGTTTGAATATAATTTTGCGACTCGATACCATACTAACAATAAATTCTTTCAGGTGACCTAGTGACACTGTGACACGTGAGGAAGGATGTTCAATTCGATACTGCTGCTTTGGGCGTTGGTCGGTCTAATTGGCCGAGTGCATGGCAAATGCAGCTTAGCCCCGATCGCCGACAACGAACGGTCGATCGCCTACGTGTGTATCCACGGCGACCTGAGCGATCTCGACGAACTGTCCGACGAGGCCGAGTGGATCGAGTTCTCGGTGTCGCGCTTCAACGTGATCCCTAACGATGCGTTTCTCCGATTCCCGAATCTCCGTCGCTTGTCGTTCTACAATTGTCACGTGAACGTCATCGAACCCGCCGCGTTTCGCGGCCTGCATCGACTCGACTGGCTGACATTCCACGGCACGAGGATCCACGCGGCAAGAGCCGCGTGGTTCCGCCACCTACCGAATCTCAGACGATTGATCTTGGACAGGTAATCATTCCTTACAATTTAATATTATATTATTATATTAGGTAAAGCCAGACCGAGGATGGCATTCGAATATGGAAAATAAAAATATTAATTTTATAAAAAATTAATTTTATAAAAAAAATCCACATATACAGTGCCTAGCAAAAGTTCCGGGACGGTCGAATATTTCATAAACTATGCACTTTGGAAAGAAATGTTTTAGACAAAAGTTATATGGTTTTAAAGGAGACGTAAGATGGAGTCATTAATTTGACCTTAAATAGTTACTTGAAGATCACGCGAAGGTGATCTTCAATTTTTTAAATGGAACCGCCTATTTTTTATTACATGTGCTTGTAGCTTATCTCGAGAGCTTTGCAAAATACTATAATTAAGTTAGTTTTCATTAAGTACTTTCCGAGTTATGAGGCTTGAAATCGTTTCTTAATTTTACATAAACCATAATAAAATATCTTGTAAAATATTCATTTTTCGATTATCCTACCTTAATACTTTTATGTACAAAATAATAAGACTGGTGTAAAGAAAAAAACATAGTTGTTTTTAAGAAAAAGTATGTAATTTGCAATTAACAATTACATATTTTTTCTTAAAAATAACTATATGTTTTCTTTACACCAATTGATTCCTCTCATTATTTTGTACATAAAAGTATTAAGATAAGGTAGTCGAAAAATGAATATTTTACAAGATATTTTACGGTTCATGTAAAATTAAGAAGTGATTTCAAGCCTCATAACTCGGAAAGTACTTAATGAAAACTAACTTAATTGTAGTGTTTTGGAAAGCTCTCGACGTGAGCTACTAGAATATTCAATAAAAAATAGGTGGTTCCATTTAAAAAATTGAAGGTAACCTTCACGTGACCTTCAAACGACTTTTCGTGGTCAAACCAATGACATTATCTTATGGCCTCCTTCAAGCCATACAACTTTCATCTGAAACATTTCTTTCTAAAGTGCATAGTTTATGAAATATTCGACCGTCCCGGAACTTTTGGTAGGTACTGTATATGTATAAGTAGAGAACGTGTTGAATATTTTATTATCCTTATCAATGCAGATTTTCTTGCAATGTTTTTTTGCCTACAATATTCGATTGCCACGTTCAACATAAATCGTCATCGATGGCCGTTCGAGAAACGTACGTTATATTTATCAAATTCGAGAACACCATAAATCGAGAGCAGCTGCAGCGACTTATGTAAAGCGTCTTATATGTGTGCGTCTTATATACATGTGTTATATATTCGATAATGTCGATGACCCAGTTACTCGCCGTACCATTGCACGCATGACGTCACCCGCTATCCGAATATCAACGATTAGAAAATAATTAGGATTAGTAGAACTTGTGGAATCAAGATTACGCCTACGCCTTGGATTACATCATAAGCTCAGAATCAATCGCGTTATTACTCTCAGAGTCTCAATTATTAAAAATCTATCGGATTTTTTTTTATTCTAACATCCTCGAATCTTTGAGATTTTAATGTAATATCTGAAGTTTTAATTCTAACATTCTCGAATATTTTAAATTTCGGATTTTCAGCGCAAGGACTTAGATCTTGGAATTCCTACATCTCGATGTGCCTTTCCGTTGTGTCTTTCCATTTTTTTATTAATTTGGAGATTCTGAAATATAAATACATTCAGTACAGAAAGCACATTCGCGCATTCTCATTTCAGATGTGGTTTGGTGCACATCGAGCCCGATGTTTTCCGTACATTACCGCGAGTGGAGATTCTAGATCTGCGCGATAATGACCTCGATTGTCTCTCGGTGGAGGAGCTGTCGCATCTGACGATGCTCAGGACCGTGCGCATCGATGGCAACCCGTGGTTATGCGAGTGTCGACTGAGAATGGAGAAGTTTTTCCACGACAGATCGATCGTTCAGGAGGTCGAATGCCGAGTTCGACCGAAGATTTGCACCGTGTACAAAATTCCGCAATGCATGACGCAGATCGACATCCCGCTCCCATCTCCGATGATAACCATCGAGCCGATAAGCAGTCACGAGGTGAGATAATCACACTTTATATTTACAATGGTACTTCTAGTAATGTGACAATTTCAATTGCTATTCTCCTTTCTTATGCTTAAGACATTTTTTTTAACATATTAATTATTATTAATAATTAATATTGAATTAATTATTATTAAATTTTATTAAATTAATTATTAATATTAACATATTAATTTATATATTAACTAATATTATTCCAGCCAACTTTTGTGATTAAAGCAAACTTAAATTGTTTGCGCAATAAATATTGCAAATTTAAAATTTTTACATTGTAGCATGAGGGAAAAAGAGAGAAAGAGAGAGAAAGATAAACTGCAAACTTGTTGATGAATGCATTTTTTGACTAATGCGCACGAACAAATTGTAAATATGTAGATATAGTCGTACTTTGGATATAATATCTGTATTGAAAATAAGGCAATATGTGGTTAGAATCAAGTTGCGTTGTTTTAAATATCGTGTTTCAGAGAGTCGAGCGGAATAAAACAGAAACTCTTCGATCGTAATTGCGTACCTAATAATATCGCACAATGATAATCTTTATTACTGTGATTTCTATCACCTAAAAAGGCAGTTTATCGTACATATCGCGAAAGAAAGTTCAATGCGTGATGATATTTAATTAAGATTGCAATTGCGCGTCTAATGACCGTATAATATTGTTACTTTGTGCTCTTTAATTATTGATATTATCTTATACGTGAAAGTAAGTCTGACGCATACATTGCAGTTTTTGAAAAATATCAGCGCAATATAACATAGATGAAGAAAAATTATCGATTATATTTAATTAGAAACATGAATATCGTTTCATAAAAAAGTGGATTCATCAAGATTATATTGCAATCATTATATATGATGTAAAAATTATATATGGTCTCAATTCTTTTTTCTTTTGTACTTTAAATTATTTTTGATTTAAAAAATACCTGCCATTTTTTAAATTCCAAAAATTTAATATCGATAATATTTAATTAGAAACATGAATATCGTTTGATAAAAAAATGGATTCATCAAGATTGTATTGCAATCATTATATATGACGTAAAAATTATATATGTTTCAATGCTTTTTTCTTTTGTACTTTAAATTATTTTTGTTGATTTAAAAAATATTTGCCATTTTTAAAATTCCAAAAATTTGAATTCATAAAACAAGAGTGAAAATTTGCATTTGGTACATACAATAATGATCCAATGGCTAGTTTCAAGACAAATAAGATTATAATTTCCCATGATCTTCATTAACTTTCCATGGTATCCATGTGTTAATATAATTTTTCATTAAGCTAATATAATTTTTCATTCTCTTTCTTCTTCCTTTCCTTTTCTTTTTCTTTCTTCTGTGAATCAGATCATTATTACGTATCACGAGTATTTTTTCTCTCTCTTTCTCTCTCTTTTCTTTCCTCTGGGATGCTATCCTAAAACGTCTAAAATGATAATTATTCGCTCCTCCTCTCACGAGGAAAATTTATAACGAGCTCACCTTATCGGAGGACGAAATCGCGCTCTCAGCGCGAACCCTCGGATATCTTCGAGCATTATCTTCTTTGGACGGTTCCTTTCGAACACCAGCAGCGACACGTTGGTTCGCTCCACGATCGCCGAAAATCACACGCGACATATAATCGATGCACCAATACACACGCGAGTAGGAGAATGCTTATTCTATCACTCGATGCACTTGCATCCGTTCCGAAAAAAATCAAGATGCGCGAATCACGCGATCGGTTATTACTACTGTGAGCCACCTCCCCCTCACTTTTCAGCCGGTTGTCAGCCGGCACGCAATTTCCTTTGTGCCGCCGACAACTGTCACGACGCATCACAACACGAAGCCGACACGCAGTTACGTAACGCACCGCAAATTACACTGGTATTACGCGAAAATGCAACCGCCTTCGTTTTGTCGGACGCGAGCGAGGCACGGAAATGTTTATCGCTCGATTCGAACGCGAAGCTTCCGTGCGATTGATCACGTGATCCGCGAAGTCGTCGCTGATTGGCTGACGAATTGCGCGCGACGCGCGATCTACGTGCAATCTAGAATACGAATCACATTAAAAACATCCGCGCATCAACAAGATTATCGCGCTATCTTCCATCTTCGTAAATAAATCCACTGCCGATTATCGTCGATAATTGAAACTCGAAAGTCCGCGAAAAATGGGGGAGCAGAGTTCCCCAGGATATCAATCGGAGAATGACAGTTGATAAAAAAAAATCAAAAAATCAGAATCTCAAATATCTTATTTGTCTCTACTTGTCTCTACAGGAACGTCCCAGTAATCGCTTCCAGACGAGCGCGCTGACGTCGCTGGACCGCCTCCCAGACACGACCACTTGGCTGGAGATCACGGGGTTGGAGATCGATCGTATACCCGCGTACGCGTTCTTCCGCTTCGGCAACAGCCTCCGCGGCCTGGAACTTCGCGATTGCTCGATCGGGGCGATCGAGCCGGGTGCGTTTGCCGGTCTACATCAGCTGCAACGGCTGACACTCGTCGACAACCGGCTGCCCGCCGTCGCCGCTCATTGGTTCGACGATCTCGTCGCGCTGCGCCGATTGGTGCTCGCCCGCAACGGCATCACGCGCGTCGAGACAGGCGCGTTCCGTCCATTGGCCGGCAGCCTGCGCCATCTGGACGTGCGATACAATCGACTGCGCTGCCTGTCGGTCAACGAGCTGGCGCACCTGGAGCACCTTAAGCGGCTCGACGCCATCGGTAATCCGTGGTACTGCGAGTGCCACAGGAATCTGCAAAAGTTCCTTGTCGATCATAATGTGGGATTCGAGATTACCGATAGGTGCTACGACGAGGACGAAATCATCGTCGAGCCGACCGATGGGGAGCAGCATCCACACGTGAGTGGCGATTTGATCATGTTTTGTATTTTCTCCAATAAAAAAAAATTTGATCATGTTCTTCGAAGGAGAATGCAAAATATTTTTCGCAAGTTTTATTTCAAGAGAGAAAAGATAGCGCAACATCAAAAATGTTGTCGAAAGTATAGTAGTATGCAAACAGTAATGTGTAAAGGTAAAGCTTCTTCTTAGAAATTATTTAATTTTTCTATAAACTCTTTTTCTTTAAAAAAAACGTTTGTATCATCCATTATTGAGTAAAAAAGTTTTTAATATTTGACCAAAGTTAATTATTGTTATTTTAATTTCAACTCTGCATTTTTTAGGTGTAATACATATACAGGGTGTTTCAGACCACCCATTTAAAAACTAGAGAAGTGGTTATTTCAAAAAGTAAAAACATTTTCTTTATAAATCCGGTGCGCTCTATCGAATGGTGATATTTTCAACTTCTGGTTCGGGCCGGAAATACGCGATTCAGACCGGAAGTGCATTTTTTTAAATGAAACTTCCTATTTTTCATTGCATATTCTTGTAGCTTACCTCGAGAGCTTTCCAAAACACTATAATAAATTATTTTTCCATGAAGTACTTTTCGAGTTATGAGGCTTGAAATCATTTCTTAATTTTACATAAACCATAAAATAGTCTTGTAAAATATTCATTTTTCGATGATCTTACCTTAATACTTTTATGTACAAAATAATGAGAGGAATCAACTGGTGTAAAGAAAACACATAGTTGTTTCTAAGAAAAAATATATAATTTGCAATTAACAATTTTATATTTTTTCTTAGAAACAACTGTATGTTTTCTTTACACCAATTGATTCCTCTCATTATTTTATACATAAAAGTATATTATAAAGAAAATGTTTTGACTTTTTTAAAATAACCACTTCTCTAATTTTTAAATGGGTGGTACGGATGATCTGAAACACCCTATATATATTATTCTGTTCTGATATATCTTTATTATATTTATATTTATTATATTTTTTAAATAAAAACAATCACTAGAAAAATTTTTTCAAAAAATCATGATTTTATTTCATACTAAAAAGTACTAAATGATAAAATAAAATTCTAGAGATGACTTATATAAACATTCTTCTAATACGAAATATTTCTTTTTAGATCGAGACAACTACCGGCCAGGTGCGCTGGATCTCCTTCGATCAAACTCTGTATGACAAAAATATAACCATAGTAAGACCAACGATCGAGATATCCACGGAGAAACCGCCGTTTCACAGAGGTACTTGCACGCAAGATAGGACGCAAACATCGCAGCAAGTTTTTACTTGCAGCGGCATTATCTCGCTGAAGGAATTAGACGTTATACCTGATTCAGCCCACACTATCCGCATCACCCTTTCGACCCTGAAGACGATCCCGACTCGAGCGTTCGCCCGCTTCAACGGCTGGCTGTCCAGGCTGGAATTACGCGACTGCGATATCGAAACGATCGATTATCGCGCCTTCATCGATTTGTACAACTTAAACTACCTGTCGTTGCATAACAATCAATTGAAATCGGTGACATCCGAAGCGTTGGAAGGCCTGACGAATCTGCGACACTTGGATCTCTCGCGAAATCACATTTACCGGATCACCAACGAGGTGTTTGATATATTGCCGCGATTGTATAGCCTCGACATCTCCGAGAACAACATGAACTGCTTCGGCGTGGAACATATGGCAGATAAAGCGCCGCATCTATATTCTCTCAAGGTGTCGGGCAATCCGTGGAGTTGCCTGTGCGGTTCCAAGCTGGTCAGTTTCTTGGATTCCCGTAGGATACCGTACAATCGTGAGACTCTGATCAACGCGGACGATTGCTACATCACCGGAATGCCTGGAATCCCACCCACAACGACGGTGACCACCTCGAAAACGACCACGACCGAGCCACCCTCGATAGATATTTACGACGAGAAAATTCAGGGTTCTTGCACCAAACTTCTCGACTCCCCGCAACCGCGGTATCGTTGCGTCGGCGGCAATCTGTCATTGCTGAAGAGTATATCGCACAATGCTGTCGCCATCGAGTTCCACGAGGGACATCTTCCTCGTCTTCCAGTCGGCTCTCTTTACAATTTTCGAAAATTGCAGGAACTCATCATCAGGAACAGCGACCTCAGGACAATCGAGCCCGGCGCTTTCAGGGGTCTAGACTCCCTAGAGCGGCTCACCATCCAGGATAATCCGTTGACGTCGATCGAGGCGGAGTGGTTCAACATAGAGAATCTCGAGCGATTGGATTTGCGCGGTAACTCGATCCGCTACATCGCGCCAGGCGCCTTTCATTACTTGAACAAGCTTGTCTACTTGAATCTCGAGGGCAACGATCTGCACTGCATCTTCACCAGCGATTTGCAGAGCATGCAGCATCTGCACATCGTCGAATTCGCCGGCAATCCGCTCAAGTGGCGTTGCCGCATGGATCTGGAGCAGTTTCTCGAAACGCGGAAGATCAAATTCGTCCGGGTGGAGAACTCATGCGAGGGTAAGAAGATCATGAGGAACCTTTTGTACGAGAATCGGACCGCCGAGTCTCTGGAATGCCCACCTGGCTGCTCGTCAGCGAACAAAATCGAGCGGGGAAAGAGTTTAACATTGTTTATAACGTTTACATTATTCTTCACAATAATGAATGCATTAACTCCTTTCGCGTAAAGGTAAGAATTTTAAGTGTAAAATAGCCTTCGAAATATATTAGAGTCCTCCGATTTATGGCGATTATTTTCACCATAATATTCCACAATCTTTTTTAAACTCGTACTGATGCAAAATACTTAGAAGAAAATTAGTTTGCAATATTTATTGATAGTTTTTTTTTATACGAAAAGAGGTAAATAGTAAAATAATTAGATCTTCAAGATTTCGTAAAGTACAGTTAAAAATATAATGTAAAAATGAATTATGGAATAATTAATTTTTCATCACAATAAAAAGAGTGATTAAAGACTTTTTAAATTAATTTATATTTGTTATTTACAAATGTGGCTATAATTATATCTAGAATATTTAGCTAATAAAAAAGAAACATATTCGATCTTATTCTGCTATAAATTGAAAATTACGCGCTGAGTAATTTATCAAACCAAGAAATGTTTTGATAGTATATGCACATGGAATGAAGAAGTTGGCGATTGATAAAGTTTCTTGAAAGGAAAGTATTTTTACAAGAAAGTAGAGAGAGATTGAAATGTGGTATTGTTAATGTTGTCAATGCAATGTGTTCATACATGAAAACGCTTAAACTAATAAATATATATATATTTATTTAATGCGCGAATGCACATATATTTAAATTTAATCTTTCTAGAATCTCTTTAATATTGTATATTGGATATAATACCGTACGTAGGATAACGCTTCTCGATCTCTAGTTAGATTGTTAGATTGCTTAGACTGTTAATACTTGTTTGTCGCATATGACACGGTTTGATTGGAGTTGTTGTTATTAAATGCATCACGATGAGAATATATAATATAAAACATCAATTTATTTATTGTTGAAATTATTGCTGAAAGGGACCACCCATACATGACCATCTCTTAAAGGTGAAAAAAAAGTTACATGTTATGCAAAGTTTATACATCAACGTGAACGTAAAACACATTTACGTGCCATAAAGATGCGTGTTAATGCGACGTTAAGATATTTCTTACTTGTGTTCATTTTATTATGAAAAGAAAATAATTGTATATAATATATTTATTATAATATATTTATTGTGAGAATTGTGTAACGAGCTATTTGCTACTAAAATACAAGAAGTATTAATAAAAACTTATTTTGTGCAATTGTGATTATTTATTTATCTTATTAACTATTTCTTATTATCGCATTTACAGGATTCGATTTATTTTTATATATTATAATAAGAAAAATCATAATATATAAGTATTAGATATAATCGTGTAAATTCACTTCATGTACTAACTAGAAGAAAAAGGTAGCAAGTAGCCCGGCTAGCTCAGTCGGTAGAGCATGAGACTCTTAATCTCAGGGTCGTGGGTTCGAGCCCCACGTTGGGCGAGTTTACTTTTTAGTCTTCTTCAAGATAATTTTTTTTAGTAATAAATCAATCTATTAAATATCTATATAAAAATATGTTGTAATTAAATTTTTATTTTTATTAAAAATAAAAAAATCGCGAGAAAAGATATTTTAAAAAAGATAAACGAATATTTCGCTGAGTGTATGTTATAAAATTTGACAAAGAATTGTCAAACAATACATAAAATTATTGAATACTTATATATATAGGAAAAAAAAGAATCTTGAGAAGCAAAAAAGTACATCTAGCAGAACGTGGTTTCGATCCACGGACCTCTGGGTTATGGGCCCAGCACGCTTCCACTGCGCCACTCTGCTTGTTGTCTAAACCCTTTTTAAAGTTTCACATAATAAATGTTTCGGTAAAAAATATAGAATAATCATAATTTATTTCTATAATTTTTAATTTTAATTCAATGCAATTAAATTATAATATATATTATAATATATATTATAATTATAATATATATTATATATCCACAAAATATATAAATATGAAAATATATAAAATAATAAACCATATAATAATTTTATCTTCCTGTGTGTGCGCATGTGTGTGTATAGCAATTGTTATATTAATTTATATTAATGTAGCAATTGCAAATAAAGAAATAAAGCGTGTATGTGTGTGTGAGACAATTATTTCTTTTTTATCTTCTATATATTTTAGAATAATTTTAAAGCATATCATTATTTACTTGTTTGACAACTAATTTAAATGCCACACATTAAATTAATTATATTTATATTATTCTATTTATTACTTATATTATTCCATTATTTATTTAAAAACTGCATGTTTTAATTTTTTTCTTGTTTACAGGTACATGTAGAAAACAGGAACATATAGTCGCTCTATTCCCATTCATAGAGAGACAATGCAGCTGAAAAGCGATCGTTTGTCAAACAGGTCTCAGCAAGTCTCGGGTAACGTGCACTTCAATATAAATCACCAGTTCGTCTTGTGACTCAGCCCGGTGAGGCAGCAGAGCTATAAACGTGATTCAACAGGCACGAACCTGTGCGTTCTAGTCGCCGACCGGGAATGCCTAATGGTTCTCCGGATGCCACGTCTGCATTGTACGACACGTGCGAATACGGAACAATCGATAAACAGACGTTAATGCAATCACGGAGGAGGTCACGCGTACGTCATATCGGAGGCTACATTTTTTCGCAACGTTCTGCGTCATATTGAAAAATGTATAAATGTATGAAAATTTATCATATTTGATTCACGCTCGAAAGCCTAGCGTTTTATACCATATTTGTAAAGCATAAGAGATAAGCGCACAGGAATTTAAGTGTCGGTAAGTTAAATTTTTGATAACGCGGAAAAACATTTCGTTGGCAATCATCGCGAGTATGTTTCCGCGAATCGTGTTGTCATGAATAAACATGCAAGTCGTTTTTGTACGCGTCTATCATACTGAAATCTAATTCCATCGAGATTATAACAGCATTGTTGAAGTTTTCGAGCGATCTAATTTCGCGCGCCTTGAGCAAATCTTTGAATCAATGAGAGAAATTGAACAATTGGAAATTGGTTATAATTTGATCTATATTATAATCGCGTTCATTCAATCGTCACGCGATTACGAGTTATTAAAATTAAATTAAAGAATAATGCGAATAAAGTCTAGAATAGTGACATAATTCACGCTAATTTTAAGAATTAACTTCTAAAAATATATGCTCGGGAAATAAGCCACATTGTACAGAGTGTGTGAAGTTAGCCCTCCTTTTTTTGAAAATTATAATTTTAAACCTTGTTCCAGATTGTTCTAGATATGTATCACATTGTTCCAAAGCGATATCTATAGCGATAAAAAAATGTTTGATTTGAGAAAAATGGGGGGCCACCAAAAAAAAATTTTTTTCGTTTTATTAAAGAACTGGTTTGAATAAAATAACAATACATTGGAACAATGTGGTACATACCTAAAACAATCTGGAACAAGTTTCAAAATTATAATTATAATTATAATTATTATAAAATAATTATAATTATAATTATTATTTTTTTACAATATATTTTATTATAATTATTTTTTCAAATAAAGGGGAGCTAACTTCACGCACTCCACTGTACAGTGCTGCAGAATCCTTTCTTCACAACTTCATCGACAAAGCATAGATGGCGGTGCCGGCATCGTTTATTGCGGGAAATCAAATAAACGGGCCTTCGGAGTATCGATTTGCGCTTCGGAGCTAATCTAAACTCGTCTCTATACGAGAATCTGAAAAAAGGCATTCTTCTTTCGAATTAATTATATCGTTTCATTTTCCTTTTCAGTTCTTTCTCCGTCACGACCGAACTCTTACTCGCAGCCTCAAGTAGCAGACATGACTGTTCGCGGAACGGATAGCGGCGACCATTTTCGAGAAGGTGACGCAATCGATGACACATCTCGACGACGTAGGTCGTCGTGCGTCAACTTCAATCGAGCATACGGAGCATAGATTTTTCCGGATGCGCAATCTCCAGCCGCCGAGATCGAAGTCCGCTTCGCGGATCGGCGGAATCCGGATTCCCTCGAGAGTATCGGCTCGCCGATACTTCCGCGGACTTTAGTCCGCTCGTAGGTCGGGCGAAAGTCGCCAGCTGGTGAGAGCTATTTTGAACGGCGACGTTGCCACGTCTGCCTCTCGTCGTCTTGCGATCGAACAAGTTCAAACACGTGCCCCCGTGTTTTGCTCGCTCGGCGTGGAGATAACCGCGAGGCGAAACGACGCGGCTCTTTTCATCTCCGGCTCTCGTCTTTCCTGGGCTTTTTACGCGCCGGTCCCCAGTCGTCAATGAGGTCGCCGTTGCGCTGAAATTTCTGTCCCATTCCCTTCGCAACCGCGCCAAGTACCGTTGAAAACCGAAGGGCCGCGTAAACCTGCGACAAACATATATATATATATATATATAATATATAATATATATATATATATATATATATATATACACATATACAAACATCAGTATACGATGTATTTCGCGCGATAAAAAATATCAAATCTTAATTCGGATGCTTAATTCGAGACGCATCGTGTATAAAATATCGGTGCGATTTCGAATCGCGCGACTCTGGACAATTTTTCCAGATGCGTCATTCCCGGTCGCAATCGGCTGAGCTGGACAAGAAATCAGGTTGCTGCTCGCGGCAACAGCGGCAGAGGGCAAGAGGAAATGCGGCAACGTAGCGCGACTGCGTGAGCGGAGATGCGCGGCATGAATAGCACCGACATCTGACAGGCCACCGCGTCGACGAGGGGGGATGGCGGGAAGGGGGCGCGGTGGCTTGACGTGGGGCGACGAGAGAAGGAAGGAGCGGTGAGGAGGGAGGGGTAGAGTTTGTCGACTGGCGAGTGCGCGCGGAGGGAGGAACGCGGAGAAAAGTTTCCGCAGCGGTGGGGATGTTGCCGAAGGTGCGACGCGACGACGGGGACAGGGGAGGCCCGCCGCCGGCTGGTCACAGCCGTAACATAACCAAGGTAATGTTACTGGAGGAGAGCTGCCGCCCGTGGGGACCCTTTTGAAAATCTTAGTAAAACGCTCCGTTTTTCTCCAGGCTTCGAACGCGGCTCTTAAGCGCCGATTCTAATTTCCCTCTTCCCCTTTAAACGATAAAAAAAGGTAAAAGGTCGACCCACTTGGTGCTCTTGTTTCTAAAAAAAGCGAATTTATGTTTATGCACAAGTATGTGGAAAAGAAGGAAAGATGAATGTAGAGAGTGCAAATTATTATCTTGAAGTCTTTAGGTTTTGATATTTCCCGACACGTTTGTTTTCCAACGCGAGTTTTCATCCGAAAATCGAGTCGCGGGAGAATCCAACGAGTCGGATAAATGAGGGAAAAAAATGAATTTGAACTTATCGATAGGTGAGAGGGTCCCCTCGAGGGGCGACGCGCCTCGACGATGATTCGAAATAAAGATGAGAAGCCACGCTTAATCGGTAGATAAACAATTATCGCGGGTAAATCGATTTCGAGCGAGATAAATTATTCCGCGTTTTCTCCTTGAAACAAATCGACAATTTATATACACGTCGGTTCTCTCGAACAGAGATTAGCGACGTTATAAATATTGCGAACTTTATTTTTCCTTTTACGCGCCTCTCATTTTCAAAATTTTGTCGTTATTTAACGCGAGTATAAAAAAAAAAAAAGAAGGAAAAGTTTGTCTCTCGAGATACCTCGTGTTTGTCACGTACACGTGCTTTTCGAAACGTCAAAATAAATTCCGCCCGCGTCGTCCCTTTATATACATCGTTGTAAACGAAGTCTAACGTCCGCGAACTTCACAAACTTCAGAAACGCGCTCTTATCTCCTTATTTATCTTCGGTGCAGAGCGCATTTCTAACTCGCTGTCTTACTGCGACCAATTAGAGGTCTCGCTAGTGGGGGGAGGAAGCACGTGGCAACCGAGTAATTGGACGTAATGAGAAAGCAAACTGGAAGTGTACATATCGTTGACACGGGCTCGAGAGAGGCCTAAGGCATCCGCATCTCGCGCTTTCGATTTACCCTCGATCAACATCCCTTTCAAGGCTCCGCGACGAAACGCTTTTAAAACCGAGCGCTATTACGCTTATCCTTCGCCAACCCGATGCCCGATTGTTTCCTTACAAACGCGATTCCCTCTCGCCCGCGATAAGAGGCGCGGGGCGGAGATCACTTGGTAATGACAGATCGCGATCGCCGTGTTCGAAAACACGCGCGTGCATTCCAAAATCTTCCGATCCTCCGAAAGAAACGTCAGCCGCGCTCGTATCGGTGAAATCGCACTCGACGAGTGGGGATGGGGGACGCGGGGAGGGGGGACGCGCGTCCGCGCGCGCGAGGTCGGCCGGGCGGGGAAGGGGGAAAGGAGACTCCCCTCGCGCGTCCCTCGGCGGCTCGAGTCGCCCCCCTCTCCACGCGCCGCCCTCGTCGTCGACCGCAACGTCACCGTTCCCCGCTCTCACGGACCGTGCGGCGCGCGCGGACCTGCCCAGTAAATGCGAGGCTTCCGTTCGGTGTTTGTTGTACGTACGCGCCAGTGAGAGAGGGTGTTCGGGTTACACGGTAACGTCGTACGCGAGACTGTAGAGTCTGCGTACGTGTATCTCGGCGACGTCTCGTTCGTCGTTTATTGTGCGTTGGATCGTTCCTCCGGGTCGTCGTCATGCCGCTCAGTATCGGTGTTAATCTGCGGGTGACCGGCCACTGTAATCAGGGCGGGCGCAAATACATGGAGGACATGTTCTGCGTGGCGTTCCAGCCGACACCGGACGACAAGGATCTCGAGTACGCGTTCTTCGGGATATTCGATGGCCACGGTGGCGGGGAGGCCGCGACCTTCGCCAAGGAACATCTCATGGACAGCATCGTGAAGCAGAAGAACTTTTGGAGCGATCGGGACGAGGACGTGCTGCGGGCGATCAGGGACGGATACATGAACACGCATTACGCGATGTGGCGGGAGCTCGGTACGGAGATTGTTTTCGTTGACGTTTACGCGCGCGCGAAACGACCTTTCGGAGCCGTCGACGGGGTCACCCGCGACGACGGCTCCGTCGACGATTTCTGTCATCGTCCCGCGTATTTCCCCCCCCCCCCACCATCGCGACTAGGCCTGATTAGGTTAGGGGTTTAGGTTATGTAACCTCTTGAGCTAACCTGGAAATTTGAGTTTCGAGGAGCGGTGGGATAAATGATGCGACGTCCTCTTGCGTTTGCCTCATCGCGCGCGCGCGTGACCGATATCCCGCGTTCTCGGCGACCTTGATCGCTAGAAATGTAACTCTTTGTGTAGTATCTTGACCTGGTGTTTTTTTTTTTTTCAAATAGATAAATGGCCAAGAACCGCATCCGGATTGCCGTCCACGGCTGGGACAACTGCCAGCATAGCATTCATACGGAAAGGCAAGATTTACATAGGCCACGTGGGAGATTCCGCTATTATACTAGGCTATCAGATGGAGGGTGATCCTCAATGGCGAGCGAAAGCTTTGACGAAAGATCACAAACCGGAGAGCGGGCCAGAAATGACACGGATACAAGAGTCGGGAGGAAAAGTAGTTAGTAAATCCGGCGTCCCAAGAGTTGTATGGAATCGACCTCGTATAGGACATAAAGGTCCAGTTCGAAGATCTACTCACATGGACGAAATCCCATTTCTCGCGGTAGCCAGATCTTTGGGTAAGTATATGGAGCATCTGTTCAATAAGTATTTCGGGCCGATGTCAAAGAATGAAAAATTTGTTTTAGGTGATTTATGGAGTTATAATTCTGAATTAAACACTTTTGTCGTCTCTCCCGAACCAGATGTCAAAGTTATTCCAGTTGATGTCAAATCACATCGCTGTCTCATTTTTGGTACCGATGGCTTGTGGAATATGTTATCGCCACAAGCTGCGGTAGCAATTGTTCAAGCCACCGACAGGCACAATGAGAAACATTTAATAGCATCTCAGCAGACTGGCAATGGTGTAGGTTTTTTTATTATATTATTAATTTTATACAGTTATAAAATGTCAAAATATATTAATATATATTAAATGTTATAAAAAATTATATTGATATATAATAAGAAATTATATGGATAATATATATAATAAGAAATTATATTGATAATTGATATAAACAAATTTTTTTCGACAGGCTGATTTACAAATGTGGATAAATCCTTCAAAAAGTCTTGTGGATCGTGCATTAGAGAGGTGGTCATCAACTAGATTACGGGCAGATAACACTAGTGTTGTAACATTAATGTTAGATCCATCAGGACCATGTCGTAGTGAGGTATATATATATATATATAAATTTTTTTAGTATTTTGAAAATAATTTACATCTTATGATACATGTATGAAAACTTTATGATAGAATTAAAATTAAATGTTTTTACTTTATTAAACTTGGAGTAAAACAAATATGTGCAGAATATTATTTATAAAATTGTTAATACTTTAGTTATAACATTTGTTTTGTTTTATTAAAGGTATTGTTTAATCAAAAGAAGGATCGCGTTATACATCATGGAACACATGCAACTACAACGATGATACCCGAAAACATCGAGAAAGCCAATTCGAAAATAATATCACCGTGCATGCCAATATTACCGCCAAGCATTTCCACAAATCTTGACATTTCTACGAATCCTGACATTGATGCCAAACAACCGGACTCGTCAAATGGAAGTGAGGAAGTCGTCGATCCGATGTTGCAACCGCAGACAGTTTCGCTTTCTGAAGAATCAACTTCACCAGAGATTGATGTCTCCTCAGAATTACAAGACACTATGAAGGACAAAAATATCGAGACTGCTGATATCGGCGAGAGTATCCAGGTTGCCGAAATCTCCTCTAGCCAAATGCCAGAAGAAATTGGAGAAGCGGAAAATAAGATAGCGGATAAAACTATTCTTGATAAATTAGAAAATTTCGAAAACGAAAAAAAGCAAATAGTTGAACAGCACGAAAACGAGAAGGCGAAAATTGATAACACGCAAATTCCGATTCAATCAAATTTAAAATCGAATAAGCCTGAACTTAAGGAACTTGTAGACGAAGCTTGTGGAGTATCTAACGTGACGCGACAAAATACATTTTCTGATACAAAAGAGGAGGCAATCCAACCCGCTCCTCTTTTAAGCAGATTACGCCGAAGTGGAGGTATTGTTCCTGTTAAAAGCAAAAGTTTCGATAACGGCGAAGTGAGAAATAATGTATTGAACGGATCGAGGCACAAGCAACAGCACTCTTTATTTCCCGCCGCGAGGACGGACGTTAGAACGATAAAGCGTCGGCACAGTTTAAACTCCTCACAGACTCAGAATGTTTTCATGCCGACTCCGGACCCAAAAACTTATGTGAGTGTAAAATCACGATACAGTAGAGTATCGAAATCATCCGTTGCGGGAAATGCGTCAGTGGATGAGACAACGAAGAATACATCAAAACTAAAAGCAGATACTAGTTGCAAACGCAGGCACAGTACGATCACGCAAGTATCAGTCGCGTCGACTGGAGTTGAAAATGAATGCACGCAACAAGAACCGTGTGCAAAGAGGAGGACACGTTCCGAGGACCGACGGCAGAATCCTACAGACGAGAACGATCCGGCCAATCAAACGATGGAAAATGCGAGTGGTCGATTAAGTTGGCCCACATCGGACGGACGACCGGATTCAACATTATCATTGAACACGACGACACTTTCTTCGTCGTTTCAACGTAGAAATTTAGCAAAGAAGGCCACACCTGTTAAAACTATTAGAAGGCCATCCATCAACGGTTCGAAACTACAACAACTGAGAGGTAGTTTTCTACGGGATTGGGATCAAGGTAGGAGCAATCGAGCGAACAATTGTAACGACAGAAGGACATTAAATAGGACAGTATCAATCATCGGCCCTACAGATACAACGATGCCACAGCGATGGTTAAGGTTGGTTCAACTAATTATGCTTTTTTGTTTCAAACATTTTTGCGTATATTTAAATAAAGTCAAGCAATTTTATAAAACTGTCATAAATATTGTATTGTTCATTATTTCATATTGAAGATTATATAATAATTGCAATTAAGTGAGACAGATCGTTAGAGATAGATATATTTCATAAATATGTTTAATAAACTTATATCAGACATTGCTACTTTCTATTTTATATAGATCAGATACAATGGCAGCAACACCTGTAAAAACACTACGTTCGCGTAATGTAGATATCGTAGGTAACACGATATCTGCACAGTTGGTTCACCAGTATGGAGTGGTAAAGCAAAATCGATTACCCTTACCGAACAAGTTGAAGCAGTCTGCAAATGGTGGATCGTTACAATCTAGTAGGGTCAGGTCTTCCTCGTTGTCATCCAATAAACTTAAACAAGCGAATAGTAACAATGGAAGTGTGAGTACTTGCGCGACCATTAATCCGTCGACCACAAGTTCCACTTCTGGTATAGCTAAGAGGGTCAAATCACCATACAATCCCAGTGCTCGATCATTGAGCACGCGATCTCGCATTAAACGTCTTGGAAAGTAAAGTAACGTTTATAGTTTTCTTTTATGCGAATTAGATAATTTTTAGGGTATGATGCATTCTTACCCTTATTTTCTTTAATTGCAAATTATGTTATTATGATATAAAATTTAATTTTTGCGTACATATATGTCTCTCTTCAAAACTTCTTCACTTTTATTTTTGAAGTTTTGCATGCTTTTTCTCTTTCAATATATTTACCATGATTGGAGGGGGCTTGAGCTTTATAATTAATGTTAATATTTTGTTCTTACATACATAGAACACACGTAGAATTAAATCAGGTGTAAAATAATTATTTGTGTACAATTATTTAGGTACATTTTAAAATTTATTATGCTATATGCAAATTCTCATATTTCTTCGTGACACAACTATTGTTTTATCATTTATTACCATTATGTATTATTTTTATTGTTACTGAAATGATTTCTGTTCTTTCCTGTTCTTTTTTGTGAGCTCTTTCACATTCGTATCTACTTTCTTTTATAAAACATTAGATATCCTATTGGAAATAAATTGCTGTGCTCTCCCATTGTTTATGAAATATCATTATTCCTTTTATAAAAAATATATATATTTTAAATGAATTACATAATAGATTGAACTAGTCTCTTGAGATGGTATTCAGAATTTTTTGTATAGCTTACAAAAAAAGACGTACTTTTGCAATTTTTAAAAGCAAATTACATTCTTATTTTTTTAATGAATATTAAATGCAAATTTTCAATTTTTTTGTGTTTAAGTTAAATAAATGATATCTAAAAAAATACACAGTTATCAGATGTTATTGTAAGTCATATATTCTACAGAAATGAAATTTATTATATAAAAATATGGACCCTGTTTTTTCTTATACTTTCTGATATTTGATGAACTTACTAAATATTGCTGTAGGACAAAATATGAAAGTATAATATAGATATCTGCATAAAGTAGCTTGACAATAAGAAGGATGCAAATAAAGACACGGGCTTGTATGCATATCCCATATGCACATTCATTTGCGCATTTTCAGTGATAACTATTGTTTATGATCGTTACATTAAAGAATGAAACGGCCACATTAACCGCTAACTAACGCTAAATATGGAGTATGAATGCGGCCCATAGCTATACATACACGTGTATTTATAGAAATAGTTTTTTCTCCCCAATTAATTCCTTTTAATGATCATAGTCTTTGATGGCGAAAAGAATTCCTATGCGATTAAGTCAAGAGCACCATACTTAGAATGTAATTAAGCATTAAACTGTTTTCTAGTATGTAGATTATATAATCATATACTGATCTGCCTTGGCCGAATACAGAGTGGTCACTGAATAATTGGAAATACAATTATAATAAAAATTGTGTAAAATATCTAATTAGCAGTTCTTAATTATTTGTGAAAAGACATGCCGATATATACATTTACAGATAAAAAAATATTTTGAAGAATTAATTGATATATGAAAGAAATTTTTTTGCGGATCAACATGTTGAAATTATATTGCATTTTGAACACAATTTTGAATAGAGACCATTCTGTATGAAGTATCAAACACCTGTTTATGTGCGATACAAAGATCTCTATTACAAATTAAAAGAAATATATAAAGAATGAATAAGATGACTAAGGGAAATCAAGTTTTTTTAGTACATTCAGTACATTGTACAACAATTATGTTTTAAAAATTATGTTTTAAATGTAAACAAATACCATCATACTAGTGATCTAACAATGATTAAGTTACCCAGGGGAAAGACACAGAACTTATAAATACATTAATATATCAGAATTTTATGTATATATAATAATAATGTACAATCTTCTTTTCAATCAGCCTTTTATTATTATTTTATCTTGCGCAAAATGTTCACAAAAAATAAGAAAGAAGGTAATTCAGGATAAATATCATTTGATTTTTCTGTCATTTATTATAAAGAAATTAGTGATGTGTAAAAAAATTACGTAACGCTTGTTACAACTTTGCATTTCGTATTTCTTTATATTTTATTGATAATAAAAATCCATTATTTAATGTTGGTTTATATACGAATATATATTATATTTCCTGTCTTATCTGAATTATACTTTCACATATTGAAGAAATAATATATACAAAATAATTTGTGACAAGAATTATAATAAATGAAAAAAAATACATTTAAGTTTTGAATGTAGAAAGTTTTTAGGATTTATACATTTTTAAAGAAAAGAAAAAAAGGGAAAAATATGACAGAATGAGATTGAATTAAATTGATAAAATACAAATATATATATATATATATATATATATATATATATATATGTATGTATGTATGTGTGTGTGTGTGTGGCTGTGTGTGTGCATATTTATCAATATCGATTATTTAATTGGCTTTCAAAGCTAATTCAATTTTTTGTAGATAAGTTTGTGCAGATAATACATATTTAAAATATATCGTTTCGAACTATGTAAGGAAAAATACTATTTATAGAATGCGTAGTGTAAATTGTAATCTATATCAAAGACAAAAAGAGAGAGAAAAAGAATTAACATGTGCCTATAATAGTTACCACTTACAAGTATAAAAAAATTTTATTCGTGCACAAAAGAAAGTTCTTTTTTTGAAATAAATTGAAGGGCAGAGGAACAAATTATAGAGACAGAGACAAGGTGAAAGATATAACGAAACTGTTAGTGCAACTAATGGTGAATATCTATTTTAAGTATATTTTCTTCTTTGGCGCATATACATGCCCATAAATTTCATAATACATGTAAATATAAAATTAATAGATGTACATATATTATGAGTATATATATATATTATAGATATATTATAGATATAGGTGTAGATCAATTTTAGATGATTGTGCTTGCAAATGAGAAAAAAATAATGATAAAAAGAAGAAAGAGAGACGCAATCTCAATAAATAGCGTTCATCGTCTATTGACAAGTTACGCAAGAAACAGTCTAAGTAAAGATCGAAATCTACTTTCTGTACTCGTAGATTTATCATTTGTTACATTGTGGAGATAGTGATATCAAGTATTTTTTAAGAAAATATGCAAAGAAATTTATGGCGCAAATGAGGTGAGGCGAAAGTGTTAGCGAATAATGTTATAACAATTTATCTCAAGTTAAAAGAAAATCGCATGCAGACCAGATTTCTGAATGATAAATTTCTTGAACAAATGAGATTTTTTGAACAAATGTGTGATTATGCGCGTGCGCCACGTGCATTTATAAAATCTGTATATTTTAATTAAATAAATTGAAATACAGATCACCTGTTATTAAACTTATATTTTGCGACATTTATTGTAATGTAATTATCTCGGCGATAATATTCTAATTTATTATTATTATATTTCAATACTTTTTAGTGAGTTAAATGTTTAATTTTCTAATGAGTTATTTATTAAATATAATTAAATCATTAAGAACATGTTGTATATGTATTTCATCTGTAATTTTATTAACAATTTCCCGATTTTTTCCAAGATTAATATTTAAATTTAGAATGAGTTTTAATATTAATTAAACTTATTTTTAAACATGTATAATTCTAAATTTCTATATATATATATATATATTTATTTATAAAAATTCTTATTTAATTTATTATAATTTTAGCTATACACGTTTCAACTAATAAAAATAAATATTTTATAAAATGAATTAATATAAGATTATTGGAAAATTCATTATTATACGTATTTGAACTCATGATTTAATTAAAATTAGTGAGAAAAGTCCGCCAATGTTCATCCTATTGTTGGATATCAAACTTTGTTTAATGTTACCATCTGCAAGTACTTTCTCGTCGATGGCAGTGTAGAATTATATGTATCAGAGAGAAAAACGAGAGATGTCATGGTCCGCTTCTAGGTGATCCCTGAAAGCGATGCATCTTCTATAAACATGAACATGAACTACGAAGCCAATATCTACAAATGTTCTTAATGGATAACACACTTTCGGGTTGTGTTCCATACTACGTGCACGAAATGTCAATAGCACAAATGTTCTAACGCAAAACGTTTGTATATATTAAATAAACTTCTAATATAAATAAATTTTGGGTGTACTCTCTCTCTTTCTATCAAGTATAATTAGTTAATAAAATATTTTACCCGATTTTATTATATATTAATCACACATCATCCATCATCACCATCGCCATTACTACGTAAATTTAATATTACAGTTTTATCGCAACAATTCATCATTGAAAATAAATGATAACACAAAAAATATTCTAATTTATTTCTAAATATTAAATACTATAAATATTAAAATTAAAATAAAAAATTGGCTTAAATAATAATAATTAAAAATTAATTAAACAATTGATAACTAAGAGCCAGTAAAAGGCGTAATAATTGGAGCACAAGAAAAAACCTCTCTTTCTTTTAATTATTAATATATTTCAAATTATTAGTATATTTCAAATTACTCGTTACAATACATGCAATAAACACGAACGTTTCGAGTTCACATTTTAATCCGCCTTCAACGTGACATTAATATTACACGTTAGAAAATATTGGACAATAACACATGAAATTATATAAATCATCAAATGCAGATAGTATTTTGTTATATCTGCATGTCGATTATGAAACGATTTGTATAGTTTCATATTCTATTGTCTAATATTTTCTAATATGTAATATAATGATACGCCGTTAAATTTCTTTTCTATAGATACGATCGCGATCAACATCGGAAAATTATTTATTATAATAATATGATTAATTAATTTTTATAAATAACACATAATTAATATTTATATATACCGCGACGAAAATTCTCGAATCGTATATTTCATAATTTATTCATTTAATCAACTAAGAATTATAGTAAAGAAATCTAAAATAATAAATTATTATTTCGATATGAAATCGATTTTTACGAGCACATTATTTCAAAGCAAATTATTTCTTTAATATTTATAGATATTGATAGAGTTGAATATAATATATCTGCGACGTTTGATCGTTTTATTTTTCAATCATTGAAATATAATTCGAATTGTGAAAACACACACTAAAACAATTGAATCTAATTGAATATAAGTATGTTAAAGTACGTAAAATATTTCGATGACGAACGGACAATAACATTTTGGCGACGTAAACAATAGGGCGCTAATGTATACGTGCCACGATTATTATTCGCACAGTGATATTTGAGCAAAGATAGTGATACGAAATATTTTGTATATTATCGAATTAATAATTATTTTAGCTGTTATTTTTTAGCTGTTATATGAAAAAATAATAATTTTAAATACATTTGAATAATAAAGTAGTGAGAAACGCTTCGAATATTATAATTTTCTTACTAAACACGATTACGATTAGTATCGAAACATAATTTGCTTTAAATATTAATAAAAATTAATTAACAATATGAAACAGTATCGCAACCATAAATCTTTATCGAATTGTAATGCTTCATTACCACGATTAAAAATTGAAACAAGGGATATATAAAAAAGGATAAGAGAATTAATTATGTAATGATCTTTCGATCATTGCTGTTAATTATAATATTTCTTT